TTTTTTTCCCTGTAGAGATGTCCTCACATCCCCACTGTGCTGGCAGCACTCCATTCTGCTGAACAGGTTCAGCCCATGCACTGAGCTGGAGAACAGCTTGTGTGTGCAGGGATATCACCCTGCCTTCCAAGGAGGTTTGCCCTATCTTCCAGCAGCATTTAAGTGCTACATCAGGAGAACTCCTGGGAAATTCCCTGCTCAGAAACACCAGGCTGGTAAACTGAAGGAGTATTACCTGCTGAATGCGGCTTCACTGCTGCCGGTGCTGGCCTTGGAAGTGAAGGATGGGGAAAATGTTTTGGATCTCTGTGCTGCACCTGGGGGTAAATCAGTGGCTATCCTGCAGTGTGCCTGTCCAGGTAATGTATCCAGGTGCTGATCCCTGGCACTGTGCCTGTTTTCAGTACATGATTCAGGTTGGGGGCAAAAAGCCCAAAAAACATAGTTGTTTCACGCTGTTTAATAAAATTTTTATGAACTCAGTTTACCTAAAAGAGGATGAGAAATACAGTAGTCACTTAACTATGAGTTACTTTTGTCCATCAGTCTGCAGTAGAATAGCTCTGTGGGTTTTTTTCTCTGCTGGTTCCCTTATTGTTACTTCTCCAGAAGTTATTTAAAGTCATGTAGATTTGTTGCCACAGGGATGTAAGTAATCTGCAATTTTGGAATACTTTTTTTCTTTTCCTCTGCTATCTGTTTGGTCGATGCTGTGCAAATACTGTAAATAAATTTAAGTGTACTGATGTAAAACAGAGCATAACACATTAAATGAGCAAGATATAGGCAGAGGGAGAGAGTTTATAATGAGGAATTGGTCTGTATCAGGATTTAATAAGCTCTTTGTCTAAAGCCACCTAGATGTTAGAGAAGGACTCTAATCACAGTGTTTAAAAGGCAACAGCAAGCAGCAGCTCTGTTCTTCTGGGCCAGGGAGTTAAAGCAAGTTGTGATTACTGTTTCCAGGTTTACATGTTAGTTTGGGTAATAATTGTCTCAAAGTTCACAGCACCTTATGCTCTTGTTGAAACCATTACTTGATTACAATTGATTTTCCCTCCATCTTCTGGAGGAATCAGGTGATGCTAATGAAGTAAATTAAATAGGAATTGTCCTTTCAAAAGGTTTAAAAAAAACCCAACCCACTTTTACCCCCTGGGTGCTTCCGGAGAGACCAATTTATTGCTGAGAATGTAAGGAATTTAATTCTTAATATACCTCAGTGAATGCTAAGATGTACTGTCTACAGCAAACCCGTTGTAGGACAACTTGGGAAGACATGAAAATAGCAATTTTATAAAATTAGAAACCAGGAATAAGAGGAAAAGTATCAATCTGTGGTTCTGGTATGAGTACAAGACGAGGGGGTAACTACTGAAGGGGTAACTACTCTGAAGGGGTATGAGTACAAGAAGGGGTATGAGTACTACTCTGGTATGAGTACAAGACGAGGGGGTAACTACTGAAGGGGTAACTACTCTGAAGGGGTATGAGTACAAGAAGGGGTATGAGTACTACTCTGGTATGAGTACAAGACGAAGGGGTAACTACTGTGAAGGGGTAAGTACTCTGACTACATTGTTAAAAGTAAGACTTCTGTTAAAACACTTCTAGCTTAAATTTCAAATAAATTAGGGGTTGGACTGCTGGGCTTAGGATACACAAAACTGATGCTTTATTTATTTTAAAAGTAGTTAAATAATAAGGGGCATGTACTTCATTTAGGCAGTGGCTCAAGGAGCCCAGAAAGGCACTCAGCCCTGGTCTTTGGATATGGGTTGTGATTAAACGGATTTGTTTTGCTGTCAAAGTCTGTTGCTACAGAAGCATTTGTCTGTAAATATTTATGGCTTGCTCTGTAGAAGCATGTTGAAATTTACGTTTATAAAAATACAGTAGCATTCTAAAAAGTGCAGTAGCAGGCTTATAAGGTGTTAGCTCTAAGTTAGTCATGGCAAAGCAGTAGAACTTCTAAAATCAGTCTAACTCCTTATATTTGTAAAAATAGAAAAAAAAACTGTAAAGACTTATTTCTTTTGTCCTTTTTTTTTTTAATTTTCTAAGGTCAGTTTCACTGCAATGAATATGATGATTTGAGGGCAAGATGGTTGGAAGAGACCATAGAATCCTTCATCCCAGAACCTTTGATTAACTCGATAATGGTCTCCAAACTGGATGGCAGACACATTGGAGATCTTAAACCTGAATTATATGACAAGGTAACATTATTATTAGCAAATTGTATTTCTCCATTCTGATTCTTTTTCTTCCTACTGTCTTTTTAATATTTTTTTTCTGGCCCCCACAAAAATATCTGACCTATCAAGGGGAACAAATCATGTACAGGATATGCAGAGCCACAGAAAACATTTTATGAAGCCTGTTGTGCATTTTTTCATGTGCTAGGTGATGTTATCCATTCAGCCTTGGTAGTGAATTCTGAAGACCTTATATCTGTATTAGTTTGCATGATGTGTAATTAGGAAGGGCAAGGGAACAAGTGAGAGCTACTTAGGTAGAGTTTACTTTTGGAGTACTAATTTCTTATCTCCTCACCTGATAACTCCATTAAAAACATCTCAAAATAGCAATTGGATCATTTCACTCCTGAAAATGGAAAATAAAAAGGGTGTTTCTAAGTATTTGCAGAAGCAAGTTGAATAGATTTTTAGCACATGGTGTTCAGAAAATGAGTATCTTTATTATGAATTATCTTATTTGCTTTTTATTGTGTAGGTACTGGTTGATACTCCTTGTTCAAATGACAGAAGTTGGCTTTTCTCTTCTGATATTCATCAAGCTACACTCAGGGTGATCCAAAGGAAGGAATTATCATGTGTACAATTCCAGCTTCTGAGGTGAGAAATAAAAAAGAAAGCTATTCAAGTAGTTTTTTATAATGAATAAAAATTACCAGGGGGGACACAAGATTTTTCATTGTTTAATGAAGAAAACCAGGAATATGTGGTTGTGCTGCTTTTTAGAATATACAGTCAATCTGGGTTAATGTGAGTGTGGAAATCTGGGTGGGGTGAGATCAGCAGTGAGCCCTAAGTCCTCTACCACCCTACTGATGTCATGGCTGGGCTTCACAAACAAAGATTTGGGGAGGGCTCTACCCACGTTTGTTACAAGCGCGCTGGTGGCTAAAAAGGCCAATACAAGATAGACACGTCCGGTTGCAAAAGGCACAGCAGAAATACTCCTTAGGTGGAGACACGATTCTTTCTGCGTTGTCTTTTCTCCTCAAGGGTGATCCTGCGTGCTTTCTCAAAAGCATCAGCAGCGTTAAAGATGGTGTGTCTCCAGACCTCCCGATTGGAGGCCAGAGTAGACCAGTTATGTTGATCAATATGGCCAAGGCTGAGATGTTGTTTCAGGGAGTCCTTGTATCTTCTCTTCGGGGCTCCTCTCTTGGAGCAGCCAGTGGCAAGTTCACTATAAAGCATGATCTTGGGGAGGCGGTGGTCCTTCATCCTTGAGACGTGTCCTGTCCAACGCAGCTGAGTTCTCAGCAACATGGCCTCACTACTTGTGACTGCTGCTTGTTCTAGAACAGACGTGTTAGTCACATAATCTGACCAGTGGATGTTTAGGATTGTACAGAGGCAGCGTTGATGGAAGCGTTCTAGGAGTCGCAGGTGGTGGCGGTAGATGACCCATGATTCGGATCCATATAAAAGAGTAGACAGCACTATGGCTCTGTAAACACTGACCTTTGTACTTTTCTTCAAGTGTTTATTTCGCCAAACTCTTTTATGGAGTTTTCCAAAGGCACTATATGCCTTTCCTAACCTGTTGTCTATCGCTCCGTCAATCTTACCATCCGAGGAGAGGAGGCTCCCTAGGTAATTAGACTGCTGGCCTGATTTGAGCTCTGATTGGCCAATGGTGATATGGGGATGATGGAAGACTTCCTGAGGAGCTGGTTGATAGAGAACTTCTGTCTTCTTTAAGCTGACTTCCAGCCCAAAGAGCTCAGCAGCATCTGCAAAGCAGGATGTTAAACGCTGCAGGGCTGCTTCTGTGTGGGCGACAAGGACGGCGTCATCAGCATAAACCCTACTGACGTACAGTCATCTTAACTCACTTATTCAAATATATGCCCATTTTCAGATGACTCACAACAGTCTGGTACAATGTCAAAATATTTTTGGTGTCACAGCTAAAATGGTTTTGGATTTATTCCACAACTGAAGCAAAAACAGGCATAATTTGTAATAGTGGGGTTTTTTTTACCTATCAGTGAAAGCAGTGTATACACCTGCCAAGCTGGACATTCTTCCCCAAAATCCTTTTGTTCTTGTTGTTATTCTTTCACAGAATTATCCCTTATGGTTCTTTATTATTTATTAGTCTTTTTGATGACTGAGCTCTAAGTCAGGGCTGGTTACCAACCATCACTGTGGTCATTAGTCAACACTACTTCAGAATTTGTTTCTGGGCTCTTTATATGGAGAAATTGAGTCCACTACTGTACATTTTTACATGCTGCTTGAATTTAATACCCAGCTGTGCTGGTTTAAAAGTTAACCAGCAGGGGAAATGAACTCAACTCAAAAGAGAGATTATAAGTCAGAATAACAATTTAATAAAATAATACAGTAAGTACGATTATACAGACAAGCAATTGGTTTTAACCCACAAAACCCAAATGTATAACCCAGCACCCTGGGGCATGAACAAAGTGGTGTTTCTTGCCCCCCCCCCCCGAGTCCAAAGTGAAGGGAGAGGGGAAAAACCTGCTGGTGGGAGAGCTGTTGCAGTCTGGTCAAAAGTGGTGATTGCAGTCCAGTTGAGGGTGGTGGTCTCAGTCTGGTTGAGAGCGGTGAGCTGCAGTCTTCCTCTGGATCCCACGAGTGGTAAAAAGGTTCCAAAACTCCAAGTTTATATATTCTCCAGTTCAGGCAGGAATGCTCAGTCCTTCCCTCAGAGCGGGGAATTCCATAAAAGGGCATGAGGACAGGAACATCTTCCTATCTCGCAGGCCTCTTAACGCCTAGTTTATAGCCTGAGGAGTCAGGCTGCTCTGGGCAGAGGGTGTAAATGCTCTATTGATAACAGTTTCTGGGAAATGGCATGGAAGGCTATAGAATACACAGGTTTGGGTTACACCCATCCAGTGATGAATTGGTCCCAGCTGTTCTAACTAGGACATTATTATTTGTAGCACAGAAAGACTCCTGATTGTAATCAATAGAGTAGAAAAAGTAAAACAATGTGAGGTTTGGTGAGGGAGAGAGGATTGTTTGTTTATTTTTATGAACATCCACCCAAAAATCCAAATCAATGCTGTAATTTATTACACATTTTAATTATACCAGCCATAGGCTGGCATTTGGGAAGCGTTTATAACTCCATGATTTTTCTCTTTGGGATTAAAAAAAAAGACTTCTCAATAGAACCTTCTAAACTTGAATGTTATTTGCGAAGTAACAGTCACGTCTGAAGTTCATCTGTCAGAGCAAATTGAGGGAAAAATAACATATTGCAACAAAAGAAACAAAGTTTTTATGGAAAGTTCCCATTGCAGCAGTTGAAGATAGTTTTGCATGAGTTCCTGTTGAAAAAGAGCCTAGCAGAAGCCTGTGATTTATAACAGAAATATGAGTATCTTATTGCAGTAATGCATCATGTCACCCATTTCCCTTGAAGAAATCAATCACATTTAAAACACTGACCTGTTTCTGTTTTCCCTTTTCAATACCTGACATACAAAATCCAATTTGTGAACCTGTACCAAAAGAAAGCATATATCATTCAGAGAAATTTTGAGAATTTGCATAAATCATTCCAGATTGTAATCCTGGAGAACTCATGACAGCAGGAACCTTGTTTTTTTAAAAAAGATACGCTCCTGCCAGCCCAAATCAGATTTAATTGAATTATTCCTAAATCAAGAGAAAGCTTTCTGTTGAAAATATATTTTACTCTTGCATCAGTAATAAGAATTAGATTGCTAAGGACAAAATAGTTTTGGTATGTAAATTGTAGTAAAAGGATGGTAATTTCAGTCTTATTGCTCAACATAGGTCTGAGTAGTTCTGTAGGTCAATCAATCTATTGCTGTGTGCCCTTGATTTTGGGGGTTTTTTTTGTCTTTTAAAATATTTTGGACCATTTGAAATAAATGGTTAATTCCAAGAGGTAGGTATTATAAGGGTTATTGGGTAAAATATTTGATGTATAGTTGTCCACTGTATTGTTAATGTTCTTTTTATGTGGTCACTTTAGAATGAATTCCCAATACAGAATGAATTCCCAATACTAAAGATGTCTCAGATCCCACATGAAAGGGTAAAAGTAAATGATAAAACGAGATCAGGAAAGGCTAAACATGACAAGAGCATTAAAAGTTTAGCAAAACTAAAACGGTGGAATGCAACTCTATTCAAGTTTGGGTAGGGTGCATAATTATAAATTCAAAAAAAATGAGTTTGAATCCCATCTCAGATACTTCCAGTAATATTTGGAAGGGCTGAACTTACGTTCATCTGGCTTTTTACATGACTCAGCTCACGCAGGGCTGTACTGGTTTATGGATTCAGGTTCCCTGGTGCTTTATGCTCCCAGGCGTTTCTCACCTTGGTTCCTGTATCTGCAAAACAAAAGCAAGTCTAAGGCTGAATCCCAGCAATTTTATTGAGGGTACTGTTAGAAATATATTACAAGAACATGGGGAACAAAACAAGGGAGAATGATTTCAGACTGAGAGAGAGTAGGTTTAGATTGGATATTAGGAAAAAATTCTTTGCTGTGAGTGTGGTAAGGCCCTGGAACAAGGTTGCCAAGAGAAGCTGTGGCTGCCTCATCCCTGGAAGTGTCCAAAGCGAGGTTGGACAGGGCTTGGAGCAACCTGGGATAGTGGAAGGTGCCCCTGCCCATGGCAGGGGGTGGAACTGGATGGGCTTTAAGGTCCCTTCCATCCCAAACCGTTCCATGATTCTATGAAATGTTGTGTGATTTGAAGATGAAGCTTGAAGTATAAGAACCAAGCATTATTTCAGCTTAACAGTGGTATTATGAATAACATACAAATGAGAAGAATGAAATCAAAGTGGAGTTCTATTTGTATTTCTATCAAGCAACACTCAGCCTAAAATTTGAGATTCCCTTCTGAATTAAAGAAGTGCTTAACTTGTAATCTGGTTTTCTGGATCTGCTTTGGGGGGGAAGCTGGGGCATCAAAGAGAAGAGTGAAGGAAGGAAGTAGGGTTTGCAATAGGGTGTAATTATTTAAGTGAATAGATGCTTCAGAGAAGAAAGATCTGGAAAAAGTGTTGAAACTGCTGCAACAACCTTCCTACTCCAGTCTGTATGAAATCTGAAATGTAAATAAGTGGCATAAATGCTGAACAGCAGATTTTATAAGCAGTGAGGGCACTACTGATTTGTAATGATTGTTAGTACCAAAACCAGAGCATCCCTGCTGAGTGCTATAATCCAAGAACTGCAAATCTTGTTATTATTTGGAGTGTTCATGCAGAAAAAAAAATTGCAAAGTAAGGAAGGAATATTCATTTCCTGATGCTAAATGCTAGCATACGCTGGTTCCCAAAAGTGAATTTCCCAATGTTATCAGGTTTCAGACAGAAATTAAATTTTAGGGCTAAGCTTGAATACTTAATAATGTAATGGTTAAACTTATGAGTGTGTCTGTGAAACCACATCACTGATTTTCACATACCAGAGAAAACAGCAGCTTTTAACTGCAAGTTTGTTTATTTGTGTCCGATGTTTTCACAAAAATTTTTTGTGATGAGGTTTCATAGAATATGTACAATTTGTTGAAAAAAAGAGTCTTTTTCACATAGTAGTAAATACTGTGATTTACTGGAAAAATCATGATATTTCTTTT